AAAACAATGGAATTAGAATGAAAAGAACATAATTTGAATGAAAACAACGGAATTTGAATGAGCACAACAGAATTTGAATGAAAACAATGGAAGTTTAAAACAAACAACAGAATTAGGGATAGCCTTAAGTGGTAAGCATTCAACAAGGTGCTAGAAACATTCTCTCATCCCAACTGGTCGCAGCAGATGGCCGCCCCTCCCTGAGCCTGGTTCTGTCAAAGGTTTGTTCCTGTAAGAGGGGAGTTTTTCCTTCCCACTGTCGCCAAAGTGCTTGCTCATAGGGGATCATATGATTGTTCCTAAAATAAATGCAAATTCATGATGTGAGTCCCCTGCTCCGTCACATCTCAAAGGTGCTCCATTGGACTGAGATCTGCTCACTCTGGAATACAGTTACACTTATTATCAGTGTTGTTCAAGTTACTTGAAAAAAGTAATCAGTAACTAATTACTGATTACTTCCCCAAAAAAGTAAACCCGTTACTTTACTGATTACTTATTTTCAAAAGTAATAAATTACTTAGTTACTTAGTTACTTTTTAAAAACACAATTTACAACCTGAATAGGCGATAAAGCGATATATCTTTCAGCCCAATTCTACTTTTTCTGCATAATCCATCATACAAAAATTAATCAAATGGAAAAGTCTCTTTTTTTAAACTTGTTTTATCAGTTTTAATTTTTTAACTTTATGCATCAAGCAAAAAATGAAATTATATGCACCATTCTCTGACTTGAAGAAATTAGTTTAACATTTAAACCTATTTTCTGCACATTCCATGTGTTACATGTAACGCGTTACTGTCCATCTCTGCTTATTATGAACTCATGAACTTAACTTAATATGCATGAAACCACTGCACTCTGTGTATACTCTGGTTATGAATGGATGGATATGGTCAGCAACAATACTCAGAAAGGCTTGGTATTTAAATTTGGTACTAAAGAGCCCACAGTATACCAAGAAAATAACACCCACATCATTGCACCACCAGCAACCTGAACTGTTAATACAAGGCAAGATGGATCAGTGTTTTCACGTTTACACCAAATTTTTACCCTATTGTCCAAATCTTGCAGCAGAAATCAAAACACATAAGTCCAGGAAACATTTTGCCAGTCCAATTCTGGTGAAGCCATGTGAATTGTATCCTCAAATTCTTGTTCTTGGCTCACATGAGCAGGGCCAGGTGTGGTCTTCTTCTGCTGCTGCCCATCTGCTTCAAAGTTTGATACATTCTGTGTTCAGAGGTGGTCTTATGCATACCGTGGTGTTAACAAGTGGTTATTTGAGTTTCTTTTGCCTTCCTATCAGCTCAAAGTCGTCTTCGTAAACACCGGAGATGGTTGCGTGGGAATATTTAGGTAGATCATTGGCACAACCATGCAATGTTCAAAGTCACTTAAAACACCTTTTGTCCCCATTCTGATGCTCAGTTTGAACTTCAGCGGTGGTTTTGATGAGGAGTTAAACAGGGGTACCCACTGAAGTGTATACTGGGCCCTCATTGGTGAAAAAAGTGTCCCATGTTTGTCCTTAGTGCTCATCCCTGAGGTAAAGAAAGTTTTCTTGTGGATTGACAGGATGAAAGGTAGATGCTATTTTGGTTTTGTCATCTTTTCTCGACTACTTTCTTCTTTTAAAGATATAAAAACTTTTTAGTGCTTTTAACTCGCTATATTGAACACTGTCACACACTCAGCGTGACTCAGCTTCAGCTCTGGTACCAAAGAGACTCCTACGACGAAAACCACATGCATTTTGAATGCAAAGCAATTCATCTTCCTTGCAGCATTTTCCACATCATTGGTAAAACAAATCCCAGGTTTTTATGTGCACAGCGTGATTAGCATACTGTGTAATTTGATGCTACTCAATACCAAAAACCCTTAACACAGCACTTTGTAGTGATGCCAGGTTTTTAACGGCAGATATTAGACCTCCCAGCCTGAACTGTGGTGCTCTTCACATCAGGTAATGGCCTTGTCATGTAAATCAGAGCAACAGGCTGGATGAGATATAAAAGAAAGTCTGCAGGAGAAATCCTGTGAAATCCTGACCAGTCTGTGATGGACCTGCAAAATCAACTTTATGGAGTATTTCATTGAACGCATCGGTGTTCTCTGTGCAGTAAACTTTGGTTTGGATGATTATGATTCAGACTGAAGGGACAGTTCAGACACAAACATTTTTATCTTTCTGGGTTCATCTTGTCATCATCATTCCAGCAGACTCATGGAAAATATGCAAAAAATAGGCCACGTCACAGGTTTGCAGCTAAAGTAAAGACTGACAAAATATTAGAAGACTAAAAGATTCTGCATCCTGGCCAAGTTCTTCATCTTTATTATTAACAATTCCCCAAAAAACAACAAACTCAGTAATGTGTCAGTCTATCGTATGAATTTTTCCATCTTCCTGCTTAACTCTGAAGAAGTAAAACTTCAAAGGTTTGACTTTTATTTTGTAAAAACAGAATCTCAGAGCATAGTTGTACACTGTTTTTGGCAAATGTTACACTAAATGTCATTACTAACTACACTTGTTAGTATTGTATGTGGATTTGGCTAAAAATATAAACTTCAGTGTCCAAGTACATAATACAATCACTGTGTTATTGCAGGGACTTTACCTTGCAATATCAAGTACATTGAAGCAACTGTTGTGATTTGTGCTACATAAATAAAATTGAATTGAATTAATGGTGCCTGCGCTGAACTACACCTGCCTCTGCGCGGTTTGTTCTGTTAGTTTACCAAACTGCCTTAATTAGGTCACAAAATGCATAAAAATGCTTTTGTAATTAAAGGTTTATGTCTGGTATGCCTTAAAAAGTTGTTTTAGCTGCATGTTTTTTTTATTATTCAAGTGATCTTTGAGTTGGAAATCATAAAACTACATGAGTAGAGCTAAATCAAGTAGGTTAAACACTAAGACAAAACATCAATCTTTTACTTTGACTCATCATTAGTTACCCAGATGGCAAAAAGAAGGGTAACAAAAAAACAACACAGATGAGTGGATTCATGCCATTCAGACCAGAGAAACAAAATGAAAACAGCTTCTATTAAAAGTGTAGTACAGTAAAAGCCCGGACTGTGCTAGGTAACAAAAACAAATTTAATCCTGGACTCATAAGCAGTTTGGGCTCATCTCGATAGAGAATAGACTAAAAGGCACCCAAAATCCATAGAAGTCTTTTGTGAACATGATTCTACCAAATATTGAGGTTTGGTTCAATTGTGCAAACTATTTTTTAGCCTTATATACAGTACTGTGTTATATTTACCCAATGAAAGAAATGAGAGGTGGCTCAAGTGTTTTGCACAGTGCTGTACGTTAGCAATATAAAAAATTATAGTGCACCACGGACACATCTTATGTCCTTGATGACGTAAATAAAAACAATATGTGTAACAGCTGATGACACAAGCTTCTTCCTCTGCCCTCGGGAGACTGAATGGAGCTCAGATGGGAATAAGCTTTGTATTGTCAGACATCCCCTTGGAGATTAAACACACTGGACTCTGGCGTATTTGCTTTTAGTAAAATATGCCAGGCAGACAGCACAGTGTCTAAATATTATTCAAAGTGTTTTTTTCCCCTTCCTGAACAACAGAGGACACAGTTAATGTGAATGCATGCACTGTGTTTGTGTGTAACTTCAGGACATCTGGCCAACGCTGCGACAGAGCTGATGAAGCTGGACCATGAGGAGCCTCAGCTGACAGAACCGTACCTCTCCAAACAGAAGAAGCTAATGGTGAATCCGTGTTTTCATTAACGTTAACATTTAACTTTTAAGTGTCCTTCACTATATCATTTAAATCAGGTTTTATGATAGATTGACACATTGCAGTGAAATGATTTCTAATGCCACGAGGAAATATATATACACTTCAGAAGTGAAGACTTAAGATGACTTTCAGGGTGTGATTCATATACTGCAATTCATAGGAGTTCATTTGCATAAGTTTCAGGGCCTTTAATCCATTAAATGATGCATTAAAATTAAATAAATTTCTCACTTATTGTAAGAATTAATAGCTTAGTGTATTGTACATTTTTAAATTGTTGTTATCCCTTCAAGAAATTATAGAGCACATAGAAAATCCATTAAATCCTCTAAATGTGTAATACATTTATACTTATTTAGGGCAGCTGCCTGAATTAGCATCTTAAACTGATGTATTAATATCCTTCATGGGTACAAAGTGAAGGTTATCACACAGGAAACATCCTGTAAGATTAGCTTCATCGAGTGAAACCCTTAAAATTTTAAATCCTGAATAAAAATATACTTATTTTGAATTACATATATTTGAGACCCCTGAACGGGAATGTAACGAGTATGATTTTTATGTATTTAATGCTTTTTTGGGGGGACAAACTGTTTAAGTCTCTATTAAACTGACAGGTATTGCGTCATTTATGATCAGAGAAGAAATCCTGACTTTTCCTTCAGTGCTGTTAGTTTTCCTATTTGTGGCTTTGAGTGAAATATCTTTAGAGCTACTGGATGTGACATATAGTTAAAGTGCTTTAAATGTTTTTTAAGACTAATTCTATGTAAATACAAGTACACTGCAATTACTTTAGATTATTATGACAGTTTTAAACAGATTCCATGCCCCCCATAGAATAATTCATATTAAGGTTATTTGTATTTTTTGTAAGCAATAAAAAGCAGTTTAGGCGTTTGGCTTTAGCATTTAACTAGATACATATTTTTGGCTGAAATAATGTTCTGAGATGTTTTTTATTTTTCTGTAAGTTTTTTCTTTTCTTCCAAAAAAATGTTTTTAAAGGTTGAATAAATCTCTGCAAAGTATTCCAAAAATGTTTAGTGAAAATGTTGCTTTTGATGTTGTTTTTGGAGTGAGTGGAGCTTTCCCTGTTTAACTTTGGTTGAGGCAGATAGTCAGACTGGTTAACAGAGTAGGACAACCACACACTGTCACATCCACACCTATGGCCATTTTAAAGCCACCAGTTAACGTGATTTGCACTGAACTGTGGGAGGAAGCCACAGTACTCGAATGGAACCTGTGCAGGTACAGCAAGAACATTCAAACTGCACACAGAACGGCTCCAGCTGATCAGCATATATAAGAACCAGGAAAGTTCTTGCTTTGCTGTCGCAGCGCTAGCACTAGCTGTTTCTCACTGCATGTCAAAATATCAAATTTAAAATGTATGTTTTCAGCATTTTAGGCTAAATGTTAAAATGACACATTTTATTTCCTGAAAATATGTGAAACACTTTTAGTGTAGTCTCCAAATTTGATATTTTTCCTCGTGGCATTAGAAATCATTTCACTGCAATGTGTCAATCTATCATAAAACCTGATTTAAATGATATAGTTTATAAATGTTATCCAGTAACATCTGTGACACAGTCTCATAATTTTGCATTCAGAATACCTTTTGTTCAGAAATTGCATTCGAGGAGCATTTTAAAAACCCCGTCATCTCAGACACCAGTGATGTCCTCAAATCAGAATAATGCAGAATACTGTTTTTGTTTTTTATTGTCATAAATATGTATAAGGACATTTTATAACTTGCAACTTAACACCATTCTTTGAACGTTGTTAGGATTTGAAATAGTGCTTCAAACGAATGTTTTCTTAAAGACAGAATTACAAAGTTTCAAAGTCCAGCAAAGTTTGTTATTTTTGTGGGAATGTTCCCTGCTAGCTAAAATTTCAGTGTTATCAAAACTACAAAAAAGTAATTACTGCTGCTTTAACAATTACACCATCTGCAGTTAAAACAGTTTAAATTGAGTCCTGCTAAATAAGAAGCCACGCTTGCCTAAAAGGGGGCTGGGAAAGGCTTGATTTATGTCAACTTATAACAATTTATCACTTGAATTTAACATTAAAACATCAGTTTAATGCGTGCTACTTTTTTACTTGTTTAATTGACAGGCAAAAATCTTGGACCATGATAATGTGAACTACCTGAAGAAAATTCTGGGGGAGTTAGCCATGGTTTTAGATCAAGTGGAAGCTGAACTGGAGAAAAGAAAACTAGAGTATCAAGGTATGTCCAAATGATGAATATCAAAGCACAACCCAGACGTTTTCTATAGTGATGTTATCGCATTCTTTGCTTCGCAGGCCAAAAGTGTGAGTTGTGGCTTTGTGGACCTGAATTTACACTAGCTGACATCTGCCTCGGAGCCTTGTTGCACAGGCTCAAGTTCTTGGGACTTTCTAAGAAATACTGGGAGGACGGCAGCCGGCCCAACCTGCAGTCCTTTTTTGTGCGTGTGCAAAAACGCTACGCTTTTCGAAAGGTCTTGGGTGACATCCACACGACCCTCCTGTCGGCAGTCCTACCCAACGCCTTCCGGATGGTAAAAAAGAAGCCGCCGTCCTTCTTCGGGGCCTCTTTTCTCATGGGTTCACTGGGCGGGATGGGCTACTTTGCCTACTGGTATTTAAAAAAGAAATACATGTAGTGAATGCCCACTTGTTGTGTTATATGTCTGTGTATTTGTGTGATGTTTAAACTTTTCTGTAATGTTTTATGACTGCAGGAAAACATAATGAATCTATATAGAGAACACTATTACTTACCTGGGTGAACAAAGAAATATTAAAACATTCCATAATAAGAAATTCTTAACAGCACATTTTCTGGTAATCAAGGCCTTCGTTAAAGTTTAATTACTGGAAACTTGCAGCTCTTGTGCATGCAAGTACTCATTTAACTTTTGTTGAAGGCATGCATCAGGTCCACCTACACTGAAATCTTAAAGTGAAAAAAAAAAACCCAGATAAAACTTTAAACACAACAACAACAGGGGTTAACTGACCTTCGCATGCCACTATTATAGTCACTACTCATACCTGCTCCTCACTCCATCTACCTGAGGTATAACCAGTACAACCACAGGGACATGTACATGACGATTACTTTCTGAAAAGTGCTGTGCTGCCAGAAACTGCCACATGTAATGATGAAAGGATGGAGGCAAACTTTAAAGGTATGCTTTGACATTTTGGGAAATGTGCTTATTGGCTTTATTGATGAGGCGTGGATGAGAAGATCGATACTACTCTTTGTGTAGGTGTTAAATATGAAGCTACAGGCCAAGAGGGTGATTAGCTTAGTTTAAACACTGAAAACAAGCAAAACAGCCGCTCTGTCACAGAAATGTGAATACCAGCATCAGCTAGGTATAGAACGTGATTTTCACTTAAACAGCATGAAACAGAAGCCAACACCAGTAAATGCCTTTGTCTCATTTAAATATGAAAACATAATTATGCTTCACTATTAACATACTAGGTCTAATCAAATTATCACACTTAGCTTGTGATAATTCAGTGAAATTGTCACACTCCACGTGTAATTTGATTAAACACAAACACATTAGCTATATTTTGCAATATGCCGGCGTGGGGACAGTAGAATCTGATATATTAAAACTAAGCAGATAATTAGGATAATGATGGAAGGCGCGCTTCAGTCAATATTGTGCTTAAGTGGTGCAAATCACTTAACACATTTCTAATGAATTAAACTGCCACTCCACTTTGGGTGGCATGACATTGCGGTGTGGTGGTTTGCACTGTTGACTGGGAGCACTCACTATGTGCTGGGTTTTTCTTTCAGCAGCTCCATAGATGTTCACGTTGGGTTAATTTTTGCTTCTAAATTGGCCATAGGTGTGGATGTGAGTAAGACAAAGTGAGAATGTGAATGTTTGGTTTGTAGTGGAAATGCTTTGAATGGTCCAGTCAGACTGTGTCGGTTCCACTTTACCTGGTTGTCAGCCCTATTTTTTAATCTAAAGTAGAGTATCAAACATACATAAAGTGTGTCACATTACAAGATATGAATATCTTCCAGTGTCACAACGAATCACGAAGGGGAAAGGTTAAAAAAGAAAGTTTAAAAACAAGAGCAGAAGAAGAAATCTGCTTTTGTCTATTTGTGTTTCTTTTGGGGGACTAAACCTTGCTCCTGATAGAAGCATGTTAGGGAAACTAAAGGTGCAAAACAGTGTGTGGGTCTTTGAAAAGACCGTCATTTCATGCAAATGTTTCCAGTCTTAATGCTGAGCTAAGCAGCTGTAGCAGCTACATGATCATGCACACAATAAAAGCAGTACCCATCTTCTCATCTAACCCTCAGAAATAAAGTGGAAAAATCTCCCAAACTATAAAAGTGCTCCTTTAACTTATTGTACACCCAATATGTAATAACACACAGAGACATGCACACGTGTGTCCAGAGTCAGTTTATTTAGAGCACCACAGATCACACAGCACACAGTGGTCCACTGTCACTATCTTGTCGCTGAGCAGAGGAAAATCTGGGTGTTTGAAAAGTTACACTTGGCTCTACTGATAGCAAAATAATAAATTCTGCATCTATGGCACAATAGTGATGACTTAGGGTTAGGATGTATGTTTCATTGCATGGGTTACTTTCATATTGTGTACACTGAGGGGTTTTTTTGTGGCCCAGAGGCAGAATTTATGACATGACTAAGCCACAGATTTCTAAATATTCAGTTGGTAACTGTAACCTTTGAATCACCTGCACTGCACCGCGTCTGAGACGGTCCCTCAGCAATACTGAGCAAGAAAAAACGCACTGGAATTCACTGCTGTTTGTTTGTCTCTGCTGACTTCCTCCTGACAGATGCAAGATTGTTTTTAACAGATAGATATTTTTAATTACACACGGTCGCATTTATTTTACCATGCTTAATTTTTAATGAGCTTAAAGGTTAAACAACGGGAACGAGGGAAGGAAAAAGCTGACTCATCTGAAGGCTTAAGGAGCATGATGGTGAGAAACAGAGAGCCTTCCCAGCCGTCTCGTTGTTTCTTAATGCAGTTTATTTTTCTTACTCCACATTAAGTTAACCCTTGACGGGAATCACTTTGTGTTTCTTTACCAGATGTCCGTGCTTTTTTTTTTTAAAAAAAAAACCATGTTATCATGTGCGCTCTTTGGGTTTAACTCATTGTTGTGAGGTGCTGGCTGGAGTTGTAAGCTGCTTTTGCTTTTTCTTGGCTGGTTATTACCGACATTCTTGCAGTAAGAACTCACAGTGCAGCGACTCTTTCTCTCATTATAACTGCTGCTCAAGATATCAATAAATAACAGAGGTCATGGAGAGTTTTCTACTGTCACACAAACTCACCTGTGCAGGTGGTGATTAGCATCTAACTGCAACAGAAAAGGCTGAACCAAAGACAATGATCAGTACTCCTTTAATAGAAGTTTGTTGCTGTTTCATGTCTTGTAGCAGAATCTGTTTTTTATTAAGAAAACCAAAGTGTACCCAGTTTAATTTTTGATATGGAGAGTGCAGGGCGGCCAGTGAGATCAATAAATCCTTTTTGTCTGAAAAGAAGACATTTGAGATACACTTTAAAGTAGACATTAAAGTACTTGATTTCAAGATGTTCAGAAGGGAGGTAAATGAGATTTCCAAAGTTTGAAAGCAAGCAAAAGAGGAGATATGTGTCCAGTTACAAATAAATCAAATAATTAGCTTAACTGTGTTCTCATTTATGTTGAGATTTTCATGCTAAAACGGTTCAATAATTGACACTGTGGGCGAAAATGCCAAGAAACGTCATAACCAGCCAATCACTGTAAACGCTTGGTACATTTTGATTATTGCAAGCACAGCTGTTACGATTCTGCTGCTTCCTCTGACTGAATCGCACTACCCGAGGGGTCGGATCTGTACTTCTTGGATCCAACAAAGATTTCAAGTCGAAAGAATCTCAGTTGTGATTTGTGGCCATTATATTTCACTATAGTATTTTTTTATTTTTTACTTTTTGTTTTTTATATTTCTATATATGCATTTATTTATGGTGCTTTTTATGATGTTTGTTCATAAGCCTTAATTTATTCAGTTGCCATCAATGACCAATAAATAATGAAAATAATTAATGGAACTTTTTTTTGTTGGTTTATTTGGACAAAAACTCAGAGCTTCCTGCACGGAGGAGAAAGTCGATTTTTTTATATTTGATACATAAATAGAAAACTGAAACATTCTTCTGTGATTTACATATTTGTAAGCTTAACAGAACTTTAACAAAATATGACTGGTGTCATTCTATACTTTTCCTCATAGCTCAAAAAAGTCACTCTTTTTACACAAATCTTCTGGCTCCTACTTCCTGTATAAATCAAAAATATAAAAGTTCAGCTTTTAAAGTGAAATTTATGCTGTGGTTTTTACCAGAGATGTACTGGTGAGTGTTTAAGGAAGCAAGATTGTGTAAGTGGGAATTCTGATTTATTCATATAAGGCCAAATCACACAGATCAAGGTGCTTCATAGTGTGAGCTAAGGACCATCAGATGATCCCCTACAAGCACTTAGTGACAACGAGGAGGAAGAACTCCCTTTTAAAAAGGAAGAGAGGGCTGACCTAGGCCAGTTAGGGTTTGAGGGTTAAGTAGGGCAAGACAGGGAGAATACAGAGAGATCACGACCAGCAAGCAGGTCCAAACACAAACTACAGAAGTTAATGACATGCAGCAGTGACCAATAAATACGTGTAAAGTGGAGAGTACTCAGTGGATCATGGGAAGTCGTCTAGCAGCATAACTAAGGGATGATTCAGGGTCACCCAACTCTAACTATAAACTTTATGGAAAAGGAAAATCTGAAGCTGAATCCTAAAAAGCAATTCAGCACCAGTAAACTACACTGTTCAGCATTTTTAATAGCTTCTGTTCAGAAACTTATGGCACAGAGGAATATTAATCTTGTCTGATTTGTCTTTTTAAGACCAGTTAAAATAAAAATTGATAGTGTTTCAAAAGCTGATGGCAACATAAGCATAAAGCTGCTTTTCTCCATGTTTTTAAATGAGATCTTTGCTGTAGGGAAAAATAGTTTCCTTTAAACAGTTTAGGCATTTTTTTTTCATGAAATAATTAACAGGAAAAAACCCTCTTTATATCAATTAATGATGAAAATAAATGTTAGTTAAAGCTCAATACTGAATATTTCCAACCTTAATATTATTTCTTAATTAAATATATTAAAATTCTTATTCCTAACCACATTCTACATCCCTGAACAAACTTAAACTACACATAATGTTGACACACAGTTACTTTGACCCCAAATCATTCACAATAAAAAAAAAAACAGATTTCAAATATTATACGTAGGATGAAATGCAGCTTCACTGGATTACAATGACTTGTTCAAAGCTTTCTAAATAAATAACAATGAACATTTACTGTACATTGGTTTGCAAAAAACACACATCATCAGTGCTATACAACTGGAGCTGTAAACATTCTCAACTGTTCCCATACATATCTAAAAACTGCAAATACTCAGTTTGGAATAACGCACTATAAGTCAGGCAAATAATAGCGAACCTTGAGGCTGAAGGTGAGAGGACTGAAGCTGGGCAGCAGAGCAGCCCTGTGCTTTTATCTCAGATTACAAGTCATTTTGGGATCAGCAGCTGCCAAACAGATGAAGAATTGCAAGTAAGTCATTGTGTACAAGGTGGCCAGCCTGTGAAGAGGGGAATTATTTAAAATAGCTTCAAGTAGAGTTGCTGGCTTGGACCTGGATGCAGATAGCGTCAAATGTAGTGTGTTATTTTGAGGATGATTTTACTTGAGTGTTCAGCTTAGGCATGCGGCTTCTGTTCTTTTGGGTGGCGCTGAGGGGGAAGTCCTGGTGACATTGGCTTTACATACCAAACCCGATATGTTAAATACCACCCCAGCAGGGCGCATATGGTTCCTAACAACTTGTGAGATGGGTCATGGAAATAAACAGAGGTGCACGTGAACATCCACACCCAAATGATCATGATAAGATTCAAGGCTATATACAGCAGGCTCAAGACCTTCCTGGGAAGTCCAGACAAGCTGGTGGTATTGAGAGAGCTCATCGGGGCAATTTCCTCCATGATGAAGAGGGTGGAGTACGCCAAAATGAAGGAGTGTCCTGAGATGTCATAGCCAACCCAGTGGAATCCAGCCCGCCTGCAGACAGCTTTCGATGTGAACTCCTTGTAATCAACCTTTACCAAGCTGTTTTCATAACAAGAACCGGTCACATCCTCGATGTAGAAGAAGGTCTCTGTGCAGACGTACCAGACAGCTGTTGCCACCACCAGAGAAAGCAGCCGCCGGGCGAGAAAGGAGACACTCCTGTTGAAGGAGGCATTGGAGAGGAGGAGGAAGGGGGTTAGCAGCAGCAGCGTCCAGCCCCAGGACACTTTAACAAAATACCTGCAAGACAAACAGAGCAGTCTGATGAAACAATTTACCACTTCAAGATAAAGTTAATCTCATATGTACACAGAATGTATATTTCATACTCCTGGGCCAATACAGAATGTTTATGCATAAACATTCTGTATACTCCAGGTTTTTACTTCTGTTTCTAACCATCTGTAACACCAGCACATATACTGGTACATATGTACAGATTTCTTTTTAGAATAGAATATAATAGCTTTTTATTGTCATTGTACATGTACAACGAAACTGTGGATGCTCCACACTAGCTGTGCATGGAACAAAAATATAAATAGCAGGACATAAATAATAACAATTGCCAGTTTCTGCTCCTACAAAATCCAGGTAAGCCAAGCAGTTTTTGTTTGTTTTGAGTTGTGTTCAACAAATAGGACTTCATTAGCCCGACAGTTGAACAGTTCACCCTTGACCTACATCTCTCCAGTCTTGCCAAAAACATTTAAAAAAAAAGAAAATTATAAAGGTGCTTTTAAGTCACCTTAAAGTGAACGCCAGGTGTGCCCACGAGCTTGAATGAATCGGTTGTGTTAGCTAATCAATCGCGTCGTCATACTTACACGTTCAGGGCGTTTTTGCTGCTGCTGAAATACGTCTGCGGAACGAACTCCAGCTCTTTCAGGACGGACCCCACGACCGAGATGAGCAAAAAACTCCAGGGGAACTTCTGTCGGACGGCCGGTATCCTCCACAGTACCACCAACTTATCCACAATGACATCCAACGACGCCATGTTGACGCTATGACCGTTGCTCTACACCGGCGGGGAGGGGTACGTTGCTTTGACGTCACTGCAGGTCAACCAATGAGATTTTATTGTTCTTCTTTGTGTTTTTAACGGCAGACTACAAACGGTAAATTCAAATGGATAGCGCCCCCACCGTACAGGGTGATGTGCTACTTTCTTCTTAACACTTGCTTTCCTTTCACTTTCTTTGTATATGACATATGTTTTCGTAGATATACATATTAATCCAAAATAACATAATAAATGGAGGAAAACAATTAAACCACAGTCCTAAAACCAAGACCAGCCAGGCAAGGCCATGATGATCCACTTGGTAAAGTAAACCTGCCAGGCATCTTTTTTGGCTTTAAAACAACAATTCTGATGGCTAAAGATCCAAACGGGACAGGGAAAAAAAAAAGAAAACAAAAAAGGAACACCTCTATACACATCTACACATCAGGCAACCTGCTCTACTCCTGAGCAACAGCTACCCTGGGAGGTGCTTCAGAGATTTTGGTTCCTTCTGAGATGAGCATCACACAGTTCCTGCCGGTATGTCGGCTGCAGCTCCATATTGTGAATCTCCACGTCTACCTGTTGGATTTGGGACTGTTGAGGCCATTTCAGTACAATGAATTCACTGAACTCACTTAGATGATCCAAGAAAAAACAAAGAAAGAACGGAAGAAAGATCTTCTGTATATTTCTCAAAAAATGTGATCCTGTCTCC